ATTGAGCCTGTGCTGTGGCGGTGAGAGCAGTGAAGAAGGAATTCTGCTCCGCTTCCATTGCATCCTCACACTGTCATCCAGCTGAGCTTTTTCGGGTGGTGCATGGCCTATTACATTCTGGCCCTAAAAAGGATCCTACTGCATCATCTGTAACTGACTGTGACGACTTTGCCAAGCACTTTAAGGATAAAATCGCTCAGATTCGCCATGAGCTGGACACCACAGTTGATATGGTCCTCGAACAGGGAGAGTCTAGATTGCTGTCTGGTCTACCTTTATTGGATGAGTTTCAATTGTTGTGGTCTGAGGATGTGGACAACATGCTCGGACTGATCCAATCCACCACCTGTCTGCTTGCCCCTTGCCCCTCGTGGCTGCTCAACAAAACCAAAAATGGGATATGTCCAGGAGGTCATCAATGCCTCTCTGAAGGAGGGCTGGGTTCCCGCCCCTTTGAAGGAAGTGGTGATAAGGCTTGTCCTGAAAAAGGCATCTCTGGACCCAGAGATGGCTGCCAACTATAGGCTGGTGGCTAATATCCCATTTTTGGCAAGGTGCTTGAGCAGGACAATCCAAGAGCCCTTGGAGGAAACTGATCATCTTGACCCATTTCAGTCTGGCTTCAGACCCGGCTATGGTACTGAAACTGCCTTGGTCACCCTGTACGATGACCTGTGCAGGGAGAAGGACAGGGGGAGTGTGTCCTTGTTGGTTCTCCTGGACCTCTCAGCAGCCTTCCATACCATTGGCCATGGTATCCTTCTGGATAGGCTGGCTGGGTTGGGAGTTGGAGGCACTGCTTTGCGGTGGTTCCACTTCTACCTGTCTGGCCGATTCCAGAAGGTGGTGCTGGGGGATTATGGCTCTGCGCCATGGCAACTTTGGCATAGAGTTCCACAGGGTTTCATTTTGTCCCCCATGTTTTTTAACATCTACATGAAACCGCTGGGAGAGGTCATCCGGGGTTTGGGCTGCGGAGTCATCAGTATGCTGATGACACCCAGCTCTACCTCTCATTTACATCTAGTCCAGGTGAGGCAGTGGCTGTCCTTAACCAGTGCCTGGCCGAGGTAATGGGCTGGATGAGGGCTAATAAATTGAGACTTAATCCAGATAAAACGTAGGTCATGTTTGTTGGCAGTTCAACCTTCCAAGCAAATGATTTTAGCCCTGTTTTGGATGGGGTTGCACTCCCACTAAAGGATAGGGTTCATGGTTTGGGATTGCCCCTCGACCCAGAGCTGGCCCTGGAGTCCCAGGTGGCAGCGGTGGCAAGAAGCACTCTTCTTCAGCTTTGCCTGATCCACCAACTGCGTTCTTACCTGGATGAGCATTGCCTGGCAACAGTGACTCACACTCTGGTAACTTCCCAGTTGGATTACTGTAATGTGCTCTACATGGGGCTGTCCTTGAAGATGGTCCAGATACTTCAATTGGTTCAGCAGAGAGCTGCCAGGATGTTAACAGGGATTGGCCAGTTTTCACATATAACACCGGTCCTCTACCAGTTACTCTGGCTTCCAATTGAAGTCTGGGCCCAATTTAAGGTGCTGGTTCTGACCTATGAAGTCGTAAATGGCTTGGGTCTGGGATAACTGAAGGAGCGCCTTCTTCCCACCCCTTGAGATCTGAGGTGGAGGTCCTTCTCCAGGAGCCCTCCTTGAAGGGAGAGTCCCCAGAGGAGGGAGAGACCCTGACTATGGAATACACTCCCCAGTGAGGTTTGCCTGGCGTCAACATTATATTTGTTTCAGCATCAGGCAAAACCCTTATTATTTTTCTGCTGTTTTAATGTTTAATTGATTTTAACTGGGGTTTTAGTATATTAATGGTTGGGTGCCGTGGGATTTGTTTTATTCCACTTATTTATTGTAAGCCATCTCAAGATGGGTTGTAGGGGATGGGAAAGAAAAGCTTTTAATAAATAAATACATTGAAGCAACTAGCAGAGCCCCAGTAATCTAATTAAAGGACCTGTGGTAGAAGACAGTCTTAATCTGGCACCTGAAAGATAAATTGGCACCAAGTGGGCCTCAGTGGGGAGCTTGTTCGATAACTAGGGAGCACCACTGAAAAGACCCAACTCCTTGTTGCCATCAACTGAACTTCCCTTGGAGCTCGCAATTGGAGGAAAGCCCCAGATCCTGATTGAAGTGTCCGAGTAGATGATTACTGGGAGAGGTGTTCCATCAGGTATTGAGGTCCTAAGCCATGTAGAGCTTTATAGGTTAAAATCTACACCTTGAATTGGGCTCGGAAGCATATAGACAGCCAGTGCAACTGGGCTAGAATTGATGTTATATGCTCTGGCTGTTGGGTCCCTTTTATTAGTCCAGCCATAGCATTTTGTACAAGCTGCAGCTTCCAGTTTTCAAGGCCAGCCCCATGTAGTAGAGATTACCAGAACACAGAGTGCTGGTAGCAGGATATCTCTGTCCATATGGAGCATAGCTGGGCTACCTGCCAAAGCTGGTAGAAGGCACTCTGAACCATCCATGCCACCCAAGCCTCAGGGGATAAAGATAGTCCAGTCAGAGGGACCACCCATCAGCAGCATCTCACTCTTGTTTGGATCGAGCTTTGGTTTGTGAGCCCTGATCCAGTCCTTTGTCACAGCCAGACACCAGTTCAGCACATTCACAACCAAGCCTACTGACAATGAAAAGGCGGACTAGTGCTGCATGTCATCAGCATACCGGTGACAATGCACTCTGAAACTCTGAGTGACCCCACTCAGTGGTTTCATGTCGGTCTTATTATCTATTTATCAAAAGCTTTTCTAAACCATCCACCACTAGTGTGTCGGGATGGCTTACAATAAAAAATGAATGGGATAAAACAAAACACCACCGCATCCAACAATTTGAGATAATACAACCTCAGTTAAAATCAATTAAACATTAAAATGATGGGAAAATATAAAGGGTTTCACCTGACACCAAAAAGAATATAATGTTGGCACAAGGTGAACCTCTCTGGAGAGCGTATTCCATAGTCTTAAATAACATGGGGGACAAGACCAATGCCTGAGGAACTGCATTCTGGACATTCCAAGGGGCAGAGAATCCAAGTACCACTTTCTGGCACCTGGCAAGCAATTTTGAGTGGAACCACCACAGTGCAGTTCTGCTCAATTCCAGTGCAATCATTCCAAAAGAATACCATGGTCAAATGGAAGGGAAAGCCTGTGAGAGGTCCTGGAGTACCAACAAATCACACCTCGCTTTGCTAGTGAGCCTCACCTTGCCTGCAGGACACATTTTCTTGGTAACCTGTCTTGTGCATCTTGTGACAAACATCCTGGCCCAAAGGATGGCCTAAAGGCCCATCCTTCCCCTTAGTAGTATCAGGAGTTTCTCTGCTCCTCATCTTCATCTTCAGGATGGTCCATTGGGAACCCTGGAAAGGTATCTTTCAGACTCAGTCCTGTCCTTTGGAAGTCCTTTCCCTACAAATCGTAGCTTCTGTCTCCACTTTCCTGCTGAATGATTGTGCAACTGTGTAGAGAAACACACCTGCACCATCCCCAGCTCATCCAGGACAGTGCCAGTAAAACATGACCTAAGTTTACATCCCTTGGTTTACCTCTGGGCTAATATCCTCATTGAATTGTTGTATTTGGTTGCAAATCAGCTAGTATTCATTTGGTTTTCTGTCTTATATATGTAATATGCATCAGATTGTCCATTGAGTACAAGCTGCTTAATTCCCTAATGGATTGTAGCATTTAACATTGGCGCATGACTGAGTACTGCACTATCTGGGTCTTTTCTATCAAATTAGCATTCTGCTGGGAGGAAGGGCACTGACTGGATGGGAGAGGTTCACGGGGTCATCCTCAGCCCTGAAGCTGTAGCTGTGCGTGCCCTCATTGTGTAAAGCAGCTTCCATTCTGCGGGGTTTGCCTGAGCATCATATTGCGTACTCCTAAAGGGAGCGAAGGGTGAGCTCCTGGTTTCAAGGACCGAAAAAGGCTAATAGATGCTCACAAAGCATCTCACAGGAATGGGCATCTTCCTTAACCAACCCTTTTCCTCTTCCCCAACCCCTTCCTTCCTTCCTTCCTTCCTTCCTTCCTTCCTTCCTTCCTTCCTTCCCCTCCCTCCCCAGCCTCTCCCTTCCCCAACCCAAGCAACTGGGAATGGGGAATGGGAAGGTAGCAGTGCACCTTCTAGAGCCCTGGCAGAGCCTGCTTTTCTGTCAGAGACGGTGCTAGGAATATTTGACCCAAAATTTAGTGTGCTATTTGTGAATTCTGACTCGTAGTTTCACTCCCGTACCTGAAGGGAAAACATGCTTCCCCAGGGCTGTAGGGGGGGAACTTCCATCTGCCACTTCCATCCCCTCCCAAAGCTACATTGTTTAGGGTGGTGTAAGGGGAAGTGCAGGCCAAATGGTTGAACTCACCAGACAATGTAGATTTGAGGAGGGGGAAAAGATGGGGAGAGGAGACTTTTCAGGCCCTCAATGCAAGGCTGAGCTTGCTTTAGTCCCGTTCACAAACATTTGGGAAGGAGCACTTGTTCTGCGGAGTGTGCCTGGTTAAATATTTGTGATATGAGTGTGTGGTGACTGTGAAGGGGGTCTTTGCGGAGGATGTGAGGAATAGAATCCATACAAAATAGTAGAGTTCTGAAGAATAAATATACTAGAAGACCACTCTGAACAAAGTAAGCTTCTGAGATCTCACCATTTCAAAGTTTCTCGCACTCACATATACACAATGAAAGGCTCAGAATGTGCTGTTTTCAAAGCTGCATGAGAGCCCCGATCTGTAATTTGCTGTACCCAGCCTTCTAGACCATCTCACACCTTTTTATTTTTATTTATTATTTATCGCTTGTTTTAATTACGAGGACAGACTGCTGTGGCAGCAGGGGCTCACCAGTGAAGGCCCGGGTGGCACGTTGGGCCTGGAGGCCAGACAGACTGCTAGCTCTGCTCCCCTTGCTTGTTTCTGCCTGTATTTCCAGCACGAGAAAATGATGGTTCCCACTTACCCAATGAGCAGCTCCTCGATCCCTCTTTTGATTGCACAGTCTGTGTATGTCCCTTTCCCAATGGAAACTACCGAAGAAACTCTGTTCTTTAACTCAGTCTGTCCACTGGGCATACGGGTGAGTTCCTTGATCAGCTCCACCTCGTCACTGTAATGCAAGGCTCCAGCATTCCAGACTAAATCCCTGCCGCACCGATAATTTCTGTAAGGAAAGAGAGAGCACTTAGATTTTGCACCTATTACATGTGTGTTTGTGTGCGAGTATATTATACGTAGTGAAGCAACTGACAAGACAGGAATATATTAAATGTTTCAGTTATCAAATGTTTCAGATTCTGCCTAGGGATGGGGGAACATGTGATGCCCATTGAGGTTCTCAAGATTCCTCCTTGAAGCTCATTTCACAACATTTTTTATGAAGAACCATACACGCCTTTTTCTATTTTGGAGAGGGCCTACGCATTGCTGCAAGTGTGCTATCTTGAAATATATACTTGGACACATGCATCTTTTCCGAACTGTACGCTTGCACAAAACAAAAATGCGATCTGGGAAAATGGCACATCTTTCCCAAGAGCTGTGCTCCTGCTCACTTTTGTGTCCGGGGTTCGTGTTAATAGAAAACAGGAACAAAACCTCCTGCTTCCCCAGTTCTGCCTGTATCAATGACAGCCAGCTGAAGCACAGCCCCAAGCCCAGGACATTAGTGCTGTGGAGATTCCCAGGCCTTTTGGTGTCAGTATGTGTCGTCCATAACTCCAGATGTTTGCCCTTGTTTCAAGGATGGCTGATTAGAGGGTTGTTCTTTTGGAAATATTACCACAATCTGAAAAACCCATCAGGTGATTCTTTCTTGTCAGTATGGCAAGAATCTGCAAGTGGGGATCCCACACTATTAGTAGCCCATATGGAGAAGTTTCAGGATGCCTTTAGCTTTCCCTTCTTTCAGACTGCCAGGATGTAGATCATATGTACAAAGAATAATTTCATCAGTACTTGTGTTCTTCTATTCTTCCCCTGGTTGCTTACCACACAATTTTTAATATGCCAATGTGAATTGATTCATCCAGACCCTCCATTATGAGATGAGGTCTAATCTTCTAAGACCCAGAACTCAATTATTTATTTTATTATTTTATTTATTTTATTTAAACAATTTCTATGCCGCCCCATTCGCAAAAAGCCTTGGGGTGGCTTACAACATAAATAAACAACTGTATAATTAGCCTTAAAAATCCGGAAACATTTCGGCACATACATAAAAACCCAATAAATACAATCAATAAATTAACAAAGCCTCGGGGCGGCTCACAAAGAATACATAAAAACATACATAAATAATAATAATATAACAATCTAAAAGAAAAAACAACAACAACATTAAAAAACCCCTGGTGCATTCTCGGCTAAACATTTTAAAATCCTAATTAATACAAGAATTTAGCAATTAAAATAACTTTTAAATAAAAAGGTCTTGGCCTGGTGCCAAAAATCAAATAACGATGGCGCCAGGCAGACTTCTCTGAGGAGCACATTCCATAGGTGGGGCGCCACCGCAGAGAAGGCCCTCCTCCGGGTGCTCACCCTCCTAATATCTTTCACGGAGGGTTCCCGGAGAAGGGCCTCTGCTGTTGATCTCAAGGGGCGGGAGGGCATAATTATCTATCCTTTAAATTCTATAAACCAATTAATACTATAATTGCTTGGTGCTAATATTTACTTTTTGAAATAATACTTCAGCTAAATCTGGTTTGTTTTTCTTTTTAGAAAACATTGCTCAACATTTGCTAAACTTGTGAAACATGACATGAAACCTCAGATTTAGCAGTTACTAGAGACCTGCAATGACCGGTAATTAGGCGGGACATGGTTGTCCTCTTCTTATTTTTTTAACTGGATCTGCTCCTGTGCCTTTAATGATGACCTGACATACAGAACTTAGGCAGGCAGAGCTTTTCTCATCACTAGGTCACAAAGTTTAACATTTTAATTTCTGTGTCAGTTTGACATTGAATTTTATTGCTTAAAAGGCACCAAAGCAGGTACAATTAAAGAAAAAAAATTAACAACCTGCTCCAGGGTGTTTCCCCTCAGGGAAAATGCTGGGATATACACCAATGCAATTAAAAGTGTGTGTCAGACATCTGTTCTAGTAATAAGCAAGCACTGGTTCAAATATATAGGAAATATCACCTTTTAATACCCCCTCCCCCAGTGTGTGTGTGTGTGTGTGTGTGTGTATGTGTATGACCTGATATTTTTTAAAAAAATATTTGATGTATTAGAGTTGCCAGGTTTTAGTTTGTACTGTTCCCATGCCTTTAACAGCAGACTGTCCGACAGACAGAAATGTAGTTCTCCCTATAACTTATCACCATAACTTGTATTTCAGAATGTTTTAGAGACACAATAGCACAGTAAATAGAAGGTAACAGGTTCATCTGAAATTCCATTTGAAAGGTGCCTCTTTCTTTCCCCTTCATGAATCTGAGGAAGCATGAAGCAGCAGAAGAGAAATGGAAATGTTTGACTAGCATACTTTAAGAGCAGGCATTTTAAAAGGAAACAGCACCACCAGCTGCACTGTAGAACTGGTGAACATCCTTCTCAGTCACAGCCTCACTCAGAAGGAAGTATCAAGAACCTCAAGGATTCACGGTAAAGTGTGCAACTCAGAAACACACAATCAGTGCATTTCTTAGCATATGTTTGCATGCAGCTCTCTGCATCATCCAGCTGTCCAGTGGCTGCAGGCCTGCCTTTGCTTCCCAGAGTGCTGCTCTGGAAATCACCGTCTCTTCTTTTTTCTGTGTGTGTGCGGGGAAGGAGAAGCAGGCTTTAGGGTTTGGGATGGCACCACACAGCAGGGCACAGCACAGCACAGTGAGAGAAATTCCCAAATGCATGACCAGTGTAGCATTTTTTTTTTTTTTACTTCCAAGCACAAGGAGTCTCAGATTTTACCTGTTAGTTAACTTATCAATGAATCGATTTGTGAATATCTTGATCTGGTCAACCAAGGCTCCAAAAGGCTTTATCCTTAAGGCAACACTCTCAGAGGTATCCAGGACAAAAAACAGATCCACAGGACAATCTGTTCAAAATCAGAAAGAGACAGTTTAAAGATAAAATGTGTATCTTTCTCTATTACAAGATGCTCCAGAAATGTTGTAATGCATCGTGGTGACACCTGGGTTAAGGGGAGCACACCAGTTAGCAGCTGAGGCTAACAATGACACAGCCTGCATTCTTTCTTAGGAGTAAATCTCACCATTCACTGGCACTTGCTCACTAGTAAGTGTGTTTAGGAATGCAGCTTAAGATATTAGGATGCCTCACCTTTCCTGTAAACTTGTGGGTGTGAGCAAAAACTACAACCAGGAGGGCCTGCACCTTGAGTTTCTCAAGTATTACACACACAGTCCACCCATACACCCCACCTTACATGGTGACCTGTTTTTGAAAGGGGTTTCTTGTATGCAGATCTGCTCTTAAAAGGGAAGAAAAGGGCCAATCAACACGCCAGAAGTACTGTCCAAAATTCTTACTGCAATAATAGAACCTTATCTGTAGAACACATATCAGAAATAATTGCTAGCCTTGTAAAGAGAGCTAGTCTGTGTGGATGTCTCCATGTGGTGGATGGGTCAGGAATTGTAGCCACAGTCTCATTCCCTTGCCCATCCCCCAATTTCTATCCAGTTAAGGAGATATATACCCAGGGGGCCTATGCATGGACACTGAGCAAAAAGCACATTATATCCTCCAAATATTATAATCCTAGAGCCTAGGAAGTATACATAATCTCAAAAAGCATCACCTCAAATACAGTGGTTTCAGGGGCAGATATGCACATAGCTCAGCTCAGTTATCAGATATTGAAGAGCTCTATTGCCATGTTCAGTCAACAAATTCTGTCTCAGGGATTTAGTAAAGTATTCCTTTCAAAGGGAAACTGAAAAATATGACGTCTACCATAGAATGTGCCAAAAGTTACTGTGTTTAATATAACTAGATGGTTACTGTAAACACTTTACTGTGCCAGTTATATATACAAAGCACACTTCTTTATTTTTTTCGTCTTCCAAACCATTTGATTTGAAACTTAAACAAAAATGGAAGGAAAATCTACATTTTGGCCCTATGGTTAAGTGTTGAAAGGTGACTGCTTTTGTGTGCTCATTTTCAAAGCATTTAAATATGAGAACTTGTTTCATCTCTCATAAAGCAATGCTCTCTACGAAAATTATTTATGTCCTTTTCATCATCAAATACGATCAGTACAATTATTCTCAGCAATTCTTCCATGGATTGTTTGAAACAAATAGGGAATAAAGCTTTGCTAATTTGAACATCTAGTGGGGTACTTGCAAAGTATTTAAAAATGTCACAACGTAACTTATTTTCTTTATACATAGCCCTGGTTTATATTATAACAATGTAACAGAGAACATTTCCTGATTAAAAAACTGAAATAGAATTCTGCATGATGCATTCAAACCCCTTGTTTGTCATTCTGAGGATTATCCTGTAACAAATACAGATATTTTCGTATTTGTAGAAGTAAAATAAATGTAGATGTTAGCACAAAAACATAGCTTTAAAAAGTTCTAAAATAATGCAGGAAACCATATGGCAGACAGATATGAATAGCCGTATCGTTTCAATATAACTAAAGGACATTAGACAAATGATAGGAGAAAACAAAACACCATGCAAATATATTCTTACCTTGGAAGGTTAACACACTGTTAGATACTTCTGTCCCTTGCCCAAGTGCTTTTTGCAACAGAAAACAGTCCTGAAGCAGGATGGTGAGGAGAAAGTAGGCGAGCCTCATTTTCTAGGAGGATGGTCACCATTTACTAATAGATGCCTATTAGAATCGCAGGAAGACTATTTTGTCCAGGTTTGCAATTTTTACCAAGTTTCTACTCTGTCCCTGAGTTTAGAAAGAGTGACGAGAAATGGATCAGGTATTAAGATTAGGAGGGGATTGTGGATGTAGCAGGAGCTGGAGCTCTTCGCTGTGCCAGAGGGGAGGGAACACACTGTGTGTTTCAGCTGAACTGCAGCATTCACTGGTGAGTCATGAAACAAACCAGCCCAGTTTCAAAATGTTCTTCACTCAGTTTTGCTGTTACTTTCCTCAGATACGGTCCTGCTTCTGGGAGTTATGATCTAGTACCAAAGCATACAGGACTGTCATTCTTTGGCATTTGCCTTTCTTTTTGCTTTTGTATTTCCAGTGATTGATACCTTAAAATGAGGCCGCTGATGTTAAATTAGTTTTTTTTTAACTCTTCAACAGTTTTTCTTTTACATTGTAAATAAGATAAGAGTGCGAAGTATCTGATGAAGTTTCTTGCCTGCAAGCGGGGTGTTTAGCTGACTAATGAGTATAGATGTAAAATGAGCATAGTTATATTATTAGGATGGGGCTGTCGTGAGAATATTCAAGATAATAGACTTGAACCCTCATGTGAGCTTCTAATACAAGCTATTAAAACTGAATTTTCAGTGCTTGTGGTGAGAGGCGGGAGATTTTATAGCTGGCCCCATTTTCAGAGTAGCTGTGCAGTATTTTTCATAGACTCATGTTTTCTCTCTCTGCAGTTTAGAGACCATTCTCCTCTGTTTAAGAAGAGAATTTGCTGGCAGGAAAGCAGCCCATTTGTAAGTAAAATTCAGGCAGAGAAATCTTTGGTTCTGGAATACAGGCCAGTTTCTGTGGAAGTCTGAAGCAGTGGTGGCTAAGCAAAGAAAACTGACCATAGAATGAACTAACACAAATCCCAAATAGTTATGAAAGGAGTTCAGAAAAAGTCCATGATTTTTTTCTCATACTAGGAATCTAAAAATTTTGCTTCAAGAGTTCCAACAGAATCACCAAATCATAGAACAGTAGTGTCGGAAAGGGCTCTATGAGGCCATCAAGACCAACCCCCTGCTCGGTGCAGGACTCCAAGGCAGAGCATTCCCGACAAATGGCTGTCCAGCTGCTGCTTGAATGCCTTCAGTGTGGGAGAGCCCACAACCTCCTCTGGTTATTGGCTTTATTGCCCTATTGCTCCAACAGTCAGGAATTTTTTCCTTATGTCTAGCCAGAATCTGGCTTCCTGTAACTTGAGCCTGTTATTGCATGTCCTGCACTCTGGGGCGATTGAGAAGAGCTCCAGGCCCCCCTCAGGGTGACAGCCTTTTAGGTATTTGAAAAATGTTATATCTCCCCTCAGTCTTCTCTTCTCAAGGTTAGCCATGCCCAGCTCTTTCAAACCCTCTTCCCAGGGCTTTGTTTCCAGTCCCTGGATCATCCTGGTTGCCCTCCTCTGAACTTTGTCCAGTTTGTCTGTTCTTGAGATGTGAAGTCCAAAACTGGACAGAGTACTCAAGATGGGGCCTAAATAGTGCCATATGGAGGGGAAGCAGTGCCTCAAGTGATTTGGGAGCTACACCTCTATTAACGCAGCCCAATATATTCATGTCATTCTGCTTTAGAATGGCATTGTGTGCTAGCAGCATACTTGTAACTGCCAGTTCAGTTGACAGCAGAGTTGAAAGCCTAAGAGACCACTGTATCATCTCAGGTCTCAGCATGGCCTCAGCTGCTCCTCTTGTCTTTACCCAGAATGCTCCAAGTCAGGCCTTAAGGAATTCTGACTTTCCCTATGTGGCTTCCCAGCCTTGATATGTCTCTTCTTAACCTCCTATTCTTGAAACTTCCCAATATGTTTCTGGTTGTCATTGTTCCAAATTTTAAAGGGCTTAAATAGGTGTCAAAGGCACTTGGGTGATGCTTGTAGATGAAACCTGTTCACTTTGTAACCCCTATCAATCCCCTTGAGTTTGCTTCTGTGGATGTTTATTCAGAAGTCAATAGGGCTTACTCCAAGGAAGCGTGCAGAGGATTACAATCCCAGCTTCTCTCTCCTTCCTGATCATTGACTTCCTCTCATTGTCTATGAGCCATTTTCAGTTTTCCTCTTATCTTTTCTCCTATTGCTAGTAGAATGGCGTGCAGAGAGTATTTTAAACAACCTGACTGTGGCTGCAGTAAGTAATGCATTGAGAACACAAACAATTTTGATTTGACCTTCACAAAAATTATTTTCTTAAAACAAGTTAATGACCAGACGTAACAGTAAGACTCAAACCTGGCCTATCCTGAAATTCTTTTACATCAGAATCCTTTTGAGCATTGCTTCTTGCTCAGTTAATACCTGTGTGAGGAAGAGAGCAGGGCCACTCTTGCAAGTTCCTGCATCTGGGCAAGTAGACCTGGAGTGGGACCTGTATGCTCCCTGCTGCTAGACTCCTAAAGCTAATACGGAAATGATGTCCGTGAGGCAAACTCCTCACTTGCTGCTCTCTCCCCAGGGCCTGTGTGGCAGAAGGGGCGGTCGGGTGTGAGGTGGGGTGGGGCTATCAATTCTAGCCCTTTCTCTCCCTTATGGACAGGGGAGATCTACATGGGGGACCAGATGAGGCCGAGGATGTAGGGACGCAGCTTAGAGTCACCCCCCCACCCCCGCAGAAGTCAAGGAGGTCCCCAGAGCACTGGATGTTACAAAGGTGCTGGGCCCTGATGGGTTACACCCAAGGTTACTTTAGGAGTTGGAGGGGGTACTCTCACACCCATTGTCCTCCATGTTTGAGGCCTCGTGGAGAATGGGTGAGATTCCAGAGGACTGGAGGGTGGTGTCAGTGGTCCCAGTTTTCAAAAAAAGTAGTAGAGGGGACATGGGGAAATACAGACTGGTTAGCCTTTTGTCCATTCTAGGAAAGACAATGGAAAGGCTCATAATAGACCTTTTTTCCCATGCAGAGGAGGGCAGGCCACATTTCAATGGAGCAAAGCTCAGGGAACCAAGATTTAGGGGGAATGCCAGGAAGTACTTCCGACAGTTAGGACTCTGAGGGTATGGACTGGGCTTCCACGGGAAGTGGTTGAGGCCCCATCAGTGTTCAAGGATAGGCTGGTCAGGCACATGGTAGGCATGTCATAAGCAGTGCTGGCTGGAACTGGTGGTCAGACTAGATGGCCTGGGAGACCCGTTCTGACTTTCTCTGTTTCTGTGTTTCTATGTTTATGCAATGGTAATTATTTTAGGTTGGAATGACTGAAGACAACTTAATTTTCCTATGCCTCTTCTTACCATACCACTTATACACAGATCACCTCTCTATCCTTCTTTTACAAGTGTGGTGCAAAGGAATATGGGCATGAGAGGCCCATGCTGAAGGATCCTTGCTTAGCTATGGCATGTCTGGCATGTGGTATTTTAGAACATTCCATTTATTTCAACTAAATCTACCATCCAAGGAGAAAAACAGAGATGCTAAAGCCCAGAATATGGTAAAGAATCTAAACTTTCAAGTACTGAAAAGATTTCAGTTTTTACTGAATTGGGCAACAATAATGATAACCGCTCAAAGGTGAAATGAAAGGAATTAATAAAAAATAAATTAAGCAGTAAGTGTTCATGTTGACAGTTCTGAATATTAACAGCTGATATATATGTGGTTTGATGGAGCCAGATTTCATACATGTAAATATCTGCAGACTTACAGGTTTCATGTGAATAAACCAGATAAACAGAAATATATACAGTACCTAGTGTTTTCAGAAGAATCTGTACATATTTTTAAAAAATGCAAGTAGGAAAACCAAATCAGCACAACATTTGGAAGATTAAAATGCCATAAAACTTTAAAATGGTGCTTCTCTAGTGTAAAGTCCTTAACTGAAACATTTAGCCAAAACATGCTAAAGATACTGGCTGTGTTCAGACAACATGAGGAGCCCTGGGGAATTTTTTTAGCACTCTTGGTCTGTTGCATTGTCTGGGCCTAGTCATGGTATTTCAGCTTGGTAAGCTGGGTCTTTAAAAAGCATGATAAAAAGCAGTGCTTTGTTCCATGGTTTCTTATAGTGTCTGAACCCAGGATCATGGTTTCTAGATCCTGGTATGCGACTACCACAGAAGCCCCTGGAAAGAGTGGCAAGTGCTGGAGCTGTTCTAGCCATGCAGCCTCTATGTGTGGACCAATGAGGAAGAGGTAGGTCACAAAGGCAGGCAGTGGTGAACCTTGAGAATGAATTTCAGGCACAATGACTGATGGGATACATGCCAATATGGGGAGGACTAAGCAGGGAAGATGGGAACCATGATAAAGTGGAAACCACTTAACCCTCTGTCATTTAGACAAAGGTAAAAATGTCAACCCATGGTAAACACACAGGGTTGCTTGTCATGTGTGAATGCAGCCATTCTGAAGATTAAAAATGTAACAATAATACATCTTGACAAAGGTTATTTCTGAATGTAAGATCTGCTTTAGTCCAGTCCTGTGATGGCACTTAACCAAAAGCGTCATTGGAAATGTGAAACTAGGAATCCGGTTCACTCTGCATTACGAACTTTGTTGGACTGGATCCACACCTTGGGTATTCCCATTCAGGGTAGTCCCACTGAAATCAAATGGGATTAAGTTAGTCTTCGCTGTACTCTAAGTATGCATTGTTATGCATAATGTCTAATCAAGTTTGGGAGACAAGGACAGAGGAGCAGGGAGAAATCTAGAATAAGCGGGGTGGCGGGGGAGGGGACCAGTTGGCTTCTTTTTGTTATAAACCATTCAGAGAGCTTTGGCTGTGGCATGATATAGAAATATTTTTTTAATGATAAGATAGATCACAAGTAGGTATTGTAGTGCCTTTCAAGAGTTTTGGACTACAATTCCCACAATCCCTATGCAGTAATTTGCTGACCAGGGTGTTATAGTCCAAAGCAGTCAGAGGGTGTCATGTTGCCTATCCTTGTTCCAAGCTTTAGATACACACAACCACCTTGGAATGTGTTTTATGCATTTCCACTTTCTTTGTCAAGCTTAACAGAAACTTTACCAGGATCAAAAATGATGCCTATATGTGTGTGTATGTTTTTTTTTTAATATAATAATTTTAAGGAAATTTGGGTCTTCTTAAAATGTCCTCATGCCTCCTTTGAATAGAACATACTGGAAAAGAGTCTACTGTCTCCAAAATCCTAATGATAATTATATGGCTTTTGCAGTTCATCTTTTACCATATTTGGAAATGGTTTCACATCTGGAAGCAATCAGGGACACATGC